AGAAGTGTTTTCTGGTGTGGAGAAGGACTTGGATGGTCTCCGTGTCTGTGCTGAGTCAACTTAGACGAGTCAAGTTTTGACTGGCTCAGCCAAATGATCCAACTTAGCTAAGCCGATTCAATTTGATATTTTTTTTTTTTTTTTGTAGTTTTGGTCTGGTTTAGCCCAGTTCACAGAGTTTAGTTCAGTTTAGCTCGATTTTGAAAATTGTGGTCTGATTTAGTTTGGATCTAGGAGATTCTGGTCCAGTTTAGGGGGATTCAGGGAGATTCTAATCTAGTTCAGGGGGATTTGGGGGATTTTGGTCCAGTTTAGTTTGGTTCTAGGGATTTTAGTCTAATTTAGTTTGATTTGGGGGATTTGATCTAGTTCAGTCCAATTCTAGGAGATTTTGGCCTGGTTCAGTCTGGTTCTAGAAGGTTCAGGTCCAGTTCAGTCTAGTTTAGGGCAGTTTGAGGTTGGTTTAGCTCAATTTAAGGGTCTTTAAGGCTAGTTTAGTTTGGTTCAATGGTATTTAAGGCTGGTTTAGTCTGGATCAATGGTATTTGAGGCTAGTTCAAGTCGGTTCAGTGGTATTTGAGGTTTGTTCAATGGTATTTAAGGCTTGTTCATGCTGGTTCAGTTGTGTTTAAGGCCAGTTTAGGTCAGTTTAAGGGTAATTAAGATCAGTTCATTTTGGTTTAAGGGTTTTTACATGAAATTTGTTTATGTCTTTGGTTCGTTTTGTGTTTGTGTGTTAGGTGATGGACCTTTGGATGTGTGTCAAGATTTTGAATGGGGTTAATGATCGGTTTAGAGAATTGAATACTTGAATGATTTAAGTTTCAATTCCAGTTTTGATATTATATTACTATGATTGTAGATACGCTTAAGGAGGTGCACTACGACTAATGAGCTCGTTATTCAAAGATTTAGGTTTTGGGCTCTAACTTGTACTGTAAGTGATAACATTTATTTTATGCATGTGTTTTGAATGTTAGTTAGTTACTTATTAGAAAAATAAATTTTGAGATATAAATCAATTAATTGTTTTGATATGATCTATCGGGTTTTGAAAAATAAAATCTGAGGCATGTATTTTGAAAGTGCTTTGAAATATAGTGAGCTGAGTTGAAATATAACATACTTTGCATTGGATTTGAAATGAATATGTATATATTATGAGTTTGGAAAATATTTGAAATATGCCTCTATCATATGTATTTTTTGAAAATCATATTTTGGGAGTTACTCTAGTTTTAGTTTTGAACAAACATGATTGTGTTTGAGCACTATGTGCTATGTGATTGTGAGACTCCATGGGGTACGTGTATCTATTATCTCAGATCAAGGTTTTCAATTTACCTCTAGGTTTTGGAGAGCCCTTCATGAGGCTCTAGGCACCCGATTGGACTTAAGCATAGCTTTTCACCCTTAGACAGATGAACAGTTTGAGATGACGATTTAGATTCTAGAGGACATGTTGCAAGTATGTGTCATGGATTTCGACGGTAATTGGAGTCAATATTTGCCACTAATAGAGTTTGTTTATAATAATATATATCAGTCGAGCATCCAGATGGCACCTTTCAATTCGTTATATGGGCAACATTGTAAATACCTGATATGATGGTTTGAGATTAGGGAAGCTAAACTTCTAGGACCAAACATGGTACAAGATGTGATAAATAAGGTTCAGTTAATCTGACAGAGGTTACTAGCCGCTTAGAGTAGATAAAAGGCCTATATAAACCAACACTGACGAGAGCTGGAGTTTGCAGTGGAAAAGAATGTGTTTTTTCCAAGTTTCACCCTTAAACAATGTCATGAGATTTGACAAGAAATGAAAGCTTAGTCCATAATATATTGGGCCATTCGAGATTTTGGACCGTATTGGTGTAGTAGTTTATCGAGTAGCTTTTCCACCTAAGTTTTCTGTAGTGCATCCTATAGTTAATGTATCTATGCTCAGGAAGTATCTGCCTGATCCGTCACATGTACTAACACCATAGGAGATACAATTAGATGTAGATCTATCATATGAAAAAGAACTTATGGCTATTGTCGACCAACAGATTAAGAAGTTAATGTCCAAAAAGATTGTGTTTGTGAAAGTATTATGAAAACATCACTCAAAGAAAGAAGTAACATGAGAATCAGAGGAAATGATGTGTGCAAAGTAACCTATCTATTTGAGTCATATGGTTAGTTATTACTCTAATATTTTAAATTCGAGGCCAAATTTTTTTTAAGCGGGGAAGATTATAGTACCCCAAATTTCGACAGAGAATTAAGATATTAAAAAGTTTAAGGGTCTAATAAAAGAAGCAGGAAGTTAAGGGGTCTAATTGGAAATTAGAGGTCTCAATTGAACATAATTAAACTTTTAGGGGGGTTTGAATTAAAATACTTAGGAATCTTAGGGACCAAATTGCACATAACCAAGAATCAAGGGCAGAATTGAAAATAACCAAAAATCAAATTTGAGTTTATCTTTAAACTTCCAAATTTTTGCGATTAGGATTATCAAATTTGATCAAATCAAAAGTTATAATCTTAAAATTTTTGCTATATAAGGTGCGATTAGGGGCGTAGACGACAAGCCCTCAATCAAATTTTGAAAATTAATCTTCTAACCTTGTCAATTTCGCAGTTTTGGTATGCCCATCTATCCGCTATTATTGAAGCCTTTTAAGCTTAATTTCTGCAAATTTAGCTACTTAAAAGCCAAATTCAGGAAGCATTTTTGGTCGCTTATTCATTTCAAAAGTCAATCTACAAGGATTTTGAAGGCATTTTGAGGTAATTTCTTGAATTTAGATTGAAAAGCAAATTGGGATTTTCGGTTCGAGAAGCCATGTATGTGGGTTTAGGTCTACTAGCGACCTAGTTCCTCGAAACTGGCCTGGTTTTTTCTTTTTTTTTTCTTTTATTTTGGTTGGATTGTGGGCCACATTGGCTAGACCTTGATCAATTGGGCTGAGGCCCTGGTTAGTGGATAGGGACAAATGAGTTGGATCGAGTAGGCTGTCTAGCTTTGGGCTTCATAAATAGATCCAGATCTTGGATCCAGATCAAAAAATAAATAAATAAATATGAAGAAATTTGAAAACCCGCTGGTTTAAGGGATTAACCATTAGTTCACTTCCGGTTCAAGGCATAATAGGCTAGTTTAAGACTTAAACCAATCGGTTTAATTTCAGCTTAAGGTTAATACATCTAGTTTAAGCCTTAAACCATTGAATTAGGATTTGTAATCACCGATTCAATAACATACTAGACTAGTTCAATGAATTAAAAATTAGTTTTGAGTGTTTTATGTCCGGTTCAATGGATTTCAGACTAATTCTATACATAAATAAGTTCGCTTTAGTGTTGAAACAGCCGATTTAGTGAGTTAAAAGGCCAGTTCAATGCATTATAGGCTAGTTTAAGGGCAGTTCAGTACATTATAGGTCGATTCAGGGTCGGTTCAGTGATCTAATGGTTGGTTTATGTCCGATTCAGCCTTTTAGTGGTTAGCTCATGACCAGTTCAACTCTTTAATTGATTGTTTTGAGGAAGTGGTTTTATGTTTTATGAAACTAGTTAAGACTTTTGTACTCGGTTTATGACTTATTTGACCGGTTCAGAACTTTAGTAGACTAGATATGGGTTCGGATACAAAAACTTAGAATTTTACTCGAGTTTTAATTAGGAATTATATTTATTTGGTTGTTAGATGCATTAAAAATCTAAAGTAAGATATTTTATTTTCTTATAATTTTAAATTTTTTGTATGGTTCTCGCCAAACCATGTCATTAAAAATCAAATTTCTTGATATTCGTCAGTTCTGTGAATTATAATGTGCATTTATGAGTATTTTCTGCTTTCCATATCTATTATAAATTTTGATTTTACATGTATACATGATTTTTGAAAAATTGAATTAAATTTGTTATAAATGCATAACAAGGGATATGTATGTAATTTTTGAAATTATTTTGAAAAACTATTTGTTATTTATGTTTAATTCTATTTATATCTATAAATGGAAAATTTTGTTAAACTGTATTTGTTTATTTCTGAAAAATTGTTTTAACGGAATTTTGGATTTTTAGATTACTATAGCTAACAATAGTAAACATTAGACTGAGTGCACTCTGTTTTGTATCCCCAGCTAGCAGGAGTGGTGCTAAACTCTCATATTAGGCCAACATGGGAGACTTGTATATTTGATTATTGGCAGACTACGATGTCACCATCCTGATTTATGGCAGATTAAGTGTCGCCATCCTGATTTCTAAATTCTGTTACGTTTTGGATTTTGAACTCTCTAAATTCTAGATGGCTGTTAAATTCTATTTTCTATAAAATATTTGTAATATCTGTATATCTGTCTCTTATTCTTATAAATGTATGTTATTATTCACCGATCTGTTGACTCACCCCTTATTATTTTTCTGATTCATAATTCGATATTCATTCGGATCCTGTTGTGTGAGAGAAGTTCATTACCTTGCTGTCTTTCTTTCTTGCTTATAGAAATTAGTCATTAGATTTTCATTTTCTATTAAACTTTTGTATTCCTAGATTTTCTTTAGTTGCCTCCATTTGACTACAAACAAGTTTTCTGATGTACAGATTGCTTAGTTGCAATTTGAATTCAAATTTTATTTTTGATTTTGGTTTAGTTAATTATGAATTATTTGTTAGGTTTGTGGGATAAAAAATTATTCTAACCTTAACACTAGTCATGGATCCAATTCCTTAATTGTGACATAAACTAAACTAAACTTTGTCTTTTCTCGCTTTGCTAATCTTCCCATCTAAGGCGGGCCGGGTGGCGGTGGGAACGGGAGGAAGAAACCTCAGAGAAGACGCTCTTATCTTAGGTCCTTTTTTTTCAGTGCAACACAGGAAAGCGCCCTCTTTTTGTCATCCCTGCAGCTTTCCAGATTTTGTATTGAACGCATGGCGTAGCTAGGACCCTTCAAATCATGTTTGAACCTATGTTCAAACCCACCCCTATTTGAGTAAGGCTGGAAAGAATGCCCGCCAAGTTCAGATAAGGGAATGCTTCCCCAACCATTCAAGGAAAGGCTCGACGAAGGGAGGGAGATGCGGCGGGGTAAGGTGCGAAGCAGAGATCGAGATTTGATTTGTTTTTCATCGAAAACGAAGAAGGCCGAGGATGGCCTAGGGTGCGTGTTATCTTAAGGAAACACGCTTTTTCGACCGCGGTGGCATGATTTCCAGGCCCTCTCCTCGTTTCGCCCGCTGGCCTATTGGGATAGCAGCCTTCGGGCTTTGCCTACCCTTTCTAATAATAATACAGAATTCCGGCTCAGCCCGGGAAAGCGCTGGCAACAACAGAAAGGAAGGGGTCCATGTAGCTGCTGCGCCCGCCCCCTTCTTAGTCAATGGGGCAACAGGTTCGGCATCTACTACAAAAGAGAGAATCCACTTCAGATAACCACGCTTCTGCTAGGCAGCGTCTGGAATGGCCGAGAGCGGACCTTTTTGGATATTTAATCCAAGTCGAGAGTCGAGTTACGGGAACAGTCGTCTGATGGAAAATGACTTTCACGTTCGGTTCAGAGAGCACTTTTTTCGTTGAGAATTCCTCGTTCCCTTTCGTGTGAATTCCCTAGCGGCGAATTAAAAACTGGTGGGGCCCTATCTATTCCATCTCTCGAGCCCCGAAGAAAACCCCTTTCCCCTTCAGACTCCATATCTCTTTTGACTCTATATATGTGGGCACCTAATATCTATGAGGGTTCACCCACCCCGGTTACAGCATTCCTTTCTATTGCACCTAAAATATCTATTTCTGCTAATATTTCACGTGTTTCTATTTATGGTTCCTATGGAGCTACATTGCAACAAATCTTCTTTTTCTGCAGCATTGCTTCTATGATCTTAGGAGCACTGGCCGCCATGGCCCAAACAAAAGTCAAAAGACTTCTAGCTCATAGTTCAATTGGACATGTAGGTTATATTCGTACTGGTTTCTCATGTGGAACCATAGAAGGAATTCAATCACTACTAATTGGTATCTTTATTTATGCATCAATGACGATAGATGCATTCGCCATAGTTTCAGCATTACGGCAAACCCGTGTCAAATATATAGCGGATTTGGGCGCTCTAGCCAAAACGAATCCTATTTCGGCTATTACCTTCTCCATTACTATGTTCTCATACGCAGGAATACCCCCGTTAGCCGGCTTTTGTAGCAAATTCTATTTGTTCTTTGCCACTTTGGGTTATGGGCTTACTTCCTAGCCCCAGTGGGAGTAGTGACTAGCGTTATAGGTCGTTGGGCGGCCGGAAGGTTGCCACGAGTAAGTAAGTTTGGGGGACCGAAGGCAGTTCTCCGTGCACCGGACACGTAGTTTACCGAATCAGTTGCGACACGGATGGGAATGCATACTACGAAGGATAGGGTCGAGTCTGATACATCAACCGTCTACTCAATATCCTTGTACGAGTCCACAATCACTACACGAGATGAACCTTGGTTTGGTGAATTGAAGTTGGCCTTAGGTGTAATAGGACTCCCAGTTACTGCGCACGATCGTATACTGAGGTGCTCCCTGCCGGTTGTTGGAACGACGCGAGCCGGGCCGGGCCTCGATTCAGAAAGATGAAGGGCCCAAAAGTCGAAATAGGGGGTTAAAAATTCCCCATCTTATTGGGGGCGGAAAACGAATCGACATCTCGATGTGATACAGCCTTTTCTATTTTAGTTGGGAAAGAACGGCGAAGTCCATCCGAACCGTCCAATGAAGAATAAGAGGAGAGCAAGGCGTCAATGGCGCGCGAAGTGCATGCGGAATGGGCACGAAGAAAAATAAGTGTGGAGGAGAAGCAGCCGAGCTCATTCCCTTCGCTTCCTGGGCCCAAAGCAATGCAGTCTTTCCTGGCCAAATCAAGGATTTGGGGCTTCTTGCTACGCTACTTAACTATATAAATCCATTTTTTTAGTAATATATATGAATAGAAAGATAGATCCATCCATCTATCCTATCCGATTTATATTTTGATATCTAAAAAAGAATCAATTTCATTCAACCTTTGATTCAACGCTTAGCCCCCCCCGCTCATGAAACGGCTTTGCTGCAATGGATGGCAGCGGGTCCGTAGTATCCGAAGCACTGAAGTGATCCAGTAGCCGGGAAGGGGCCTAGAAGTGCCTACTACTACACCACACTACACTTGGCTCTACATATTTATAGAGCTAACCCCTGTCTAGTGCCTGGCAGAGCTAAGGGGGCTTCAATCCTTACTCCTTATCCCCATCTTCGCCCAGGCTAACGGGGCCTTACTTATTCAGGGGGGAGAGTGGAGCCTCGAGAAGCACTGTTGAGAGGAAGATCCTTGGCCCCTCTTCATTCTTTACAGGGTTGTTCCAAACCTTTCTTCAACATAGATGACAACGAGCGAGGCAGAGATGGAAGAGATCAAACACGGAATAAGAAGACTACGTTCCTTTTTGATTATTTTGATAGAGGGGGATGGAGAAAGTGGACAAAACAGACTCGCATTTCCCAGTCGAAAAAATGGGTTCCTTTTTCGTCTCGTATTTCTCATCGAACAAATATAGGAAAAGAATCATATTGAGCTCCTAACCCAACCCCTTCCTTCGTAGAGCCGTGTCTTGTAAGTGATCCGAACCTGCCCGGAGTGAGCCTCCCATAGAGGCAAGTTGGTGAGCCGTATGATGGGCAACTATCTCCTGCGGTTTGGAGAGGACTCAGCTGTTAGTTAGTATCCCCTTGGTTTCGGGGTGGACCCTTTCACTCTATTTTATTATATACGCTTAGCGAAAAGAATGTTTTTTGATACACCTAGGACATGGATTCTATATGAACCAATGGATCGTAATAAGTCGTTACTACTAGCAATGACTTCCTTTTTCATTACTTCATCCTTGCTATACCCCTCTCCTTTGTTCTCAGTTACTCATCAAATGGCACTCAGTTCATATCTTTAAGTTCGATCATTGACAAGGTTCAAAGAAAGGGTGGGCCATTGATAAAGAATCGATTCCAAAACACAATGCTAGCAGATGGCGGGCCTCCGCTTTTCTTTTCATTAATGAAACCTGCCAGTTATTATGAACTCAAATCAAAAGGACAAAAAATTCAGATTTTTCAGGCTTGTTCAAAAGAAAAAAAAAAAAAAAAAGTAAAGTCCTTTGCCGGGGTTTTCTATAGATAGATGGATAGAGGAGTGCGTTAGTGTTATGACTGATAAGCGAGTGCACTTTAGGAAGCTGTTGAGTGCCCGATGAGGTCGAATGGTTTTCAATGTGTCCATTCCGGAATACATAAAAAAGTAATAAATAGACACGTTTACCGAACCTGAGGTATTTGATTGATCCGTTGCAGCTTAAGCCAAACACTCAAACAGTAGCATTGGCTGCTATGATAGGAACTGTTATTTTTGCTATGGCGTTAGGTGAATCAGTCACAGTAGAGGGAATTGTGCTATAATTGATGCTGTTACTAAGGCTACTGCTATTCATTGTTTATTGTCAACTTCTATGATAGACGAAAGATTCAATCAGCTAGATTGAAAAGCAGCCCCGGCCCCGAGGAAGCGAGCAAGAAAGGCGAGAAAGAGCAGAAGCAGCAGCAAAAGAAGATATCAGAATCATGGCATGCGTCTTTCCATTTATTTCTCTGCCCGATAGGAAGCATCTCCCCGGGGCACTCTCTATAAGAAGGGGGTAGCGACAGCTTAGGTCAGCAACTCATTGACAGATGGGGAGTTGGGGGTGGGATTGTCTCCTTTGCTATCTTTCCTGCGGGAAATCGAAAAGAGACAAAGAAAGACTAGATTCAAAAAGAAACTAAGGCTAGATCCCGGAAATCCTTATTCTTATTGTTAAAGTGTCCGTTTAGGGAGTGAATGAACTACTAGTCGTAGGGCACGAACGGAATAAGACGAGATGAGGTTAGCAATGAAGAGGGAAGGCAAGGAAATTGCGTATAGAAGAAAGGTCTCTCTGACACTAGGCACATAGAATAGGCTGTTCGGAAGAAAGCAGCTATAGAAAGAGAAAGAGAAGGAGCGGACATGATCAGATAGTTTAGAAGTCGAGATGGAGCATAGTGAACCAATAGTCAAGATAGACCCACGAACAAAAATCCGATGTGAACGAATCCGCCCTAAAAGAAGTAGTGATCTTATATACGATACCACCAGACGTGCTCCTGACGCAACCACCTTCGAATCTGCATTCGCATCTCCTTCGGCTTTTGCTACAGTCTGTTCTAGGGACGAAGGGCAGGGGCTTTGTTCCCATCTGATTCAATAGCAGCGAATGGGCTAAGAGCGGTTATTACCAACAGCGCTTATTCACCATCAACAGCGGTAAGCCCTTCTTCTCTTATATATGATGCAAGCCCTTCAGATTCACTTTCAAAGAGCTTCTTCTTGGCATCAATTCGCCCCTTTCATCCCTTCGCGCCTTCCTCTAACTAGTCTACTCTGCTCTCATCCAGCAAGCTCTCTAAAACTAGCGATCTCAAATCATGCTTTTCTTCCCAATCCCAAGTGGAATGCCAAAAGCAGCAGTTGGTGGTGTCATGATTATAGATTACGCCTTTCTGGGATCATCAAATGTCGTATCACATGACGGAGAAATCACTCACGTGCAGTTTGTTCTCAGTAGTCTAGGTCCTTTCGTAACCTAGGAATCTATGTTCAGAAAAAAGGCCAACTCGCTATAGTCTTATAACCAAGCAGTCAAAAGAGGGTAAGAACTAAAAGCTGTCCGATCCAATGCAACCTCATTCAATACTTGTAAACCTCCGAAAAATGTGAAAGAAGCCCGCATACCCACTCTTCTTTCCCCCCATCACTGGGGGCCTCATCTTCTTCGTGAGAAGAAGACTACTTTGAACGTGGGTTTTCCTAGTTCCCGAAAGGAACTATAAAAACTTCAGAATCCAGGAAGAGACCACATTTCTCGTTCAAAGAAGAAAGCATCAATCAGCCGGGACCTAGGTGGGAATAGTGAAAGAAAGAGAAGGGGAAGAAGCGGGCTAGAGTCGTCTTCTTGCTCTTCTTGAATGTGAAGTTGTGATCAGCTTAGCAGTAAAGAGCTCTTCTTTAGCGAAAGTCGGATTCAAATTCTGCTTGAGCGGCCTTCTCTCTCTGAGTTACGGCAAAGGTAGTTCGGTAAGCCTTGGGTCATAATCTAGTATGACCGAAGCATTAGCCCTCTCTCTATCCTTGGGCTAAGGGCCCATAGACTGGACCTAGTGCGGTGAGGTAGCTTAGGATGATGAAACCGTACCTGATGACTTTCGGACTTTCTTGCTGGCTTGACTTCTTGACTTAGAGCTTTCACGTGGCAATCGAGCTGCCATTGATGGAGAAAATCCTGCTATAAAGAGGGAGTTGGCAGAGGTAGAATCGGCATCTGTCTCGCCTGCTGGAAAGCTTGACTTGGCTATTGAAATCAGCAGCAGATGTTATCAAATCAACTTAATTAAGAAGAATCCATTCTTGGAAGAATTTCGACTATAAGGGAGGAGTTCTCATACCCAGTTCAATGATTAAGGAGTTTCCCGCCTCAAGGGGAATGCTTGAAATAAGCTCTTTTGTCTCTTGGCGACTCTGAATGAATGCTGTCGGCATTCAATCATACATATACGAAGTGTGCCGCGAGTCACCTTAGAGAAAGAGAAAGAATAATGATTGCTAGCAGATGTTATGAAAGAAAGGATAGAAGGAGGAGAGACTTGGGAATGATTGTTGACTATACGAGAATTCCTCTGATTCCTCCATTCCAACCAGGTTTTCAGGAATAAGCACTGCAAGAATGGCGATACCTCCTACAGTTACCTCTAAAAGGAATGATCTCGAGCATCAATCTAAAGAGAGTTTGGTAGCTTTCCTTTACACGGGCAATTGCCTTATCTTATTAAAGGAAAAGGAAGAACTCGCTTTCGCTAGGCACCAAGGCTTCTTTTACTCCTAACTTCACTTGAACCTGGTTAAGAAGGGAAAGCCGGTCCAATCCCAGCTTATGAAACAAAAGAGTGAATTGACTAAGCTAACCCTGAGTTCGCAGTCGATTCGGTAACAGGAAAAGCAAAGACAATAGCGAGTGACCCATAGCATTCATAGATAGGACTTTGCCCTTATTCCTCCCTTCTAGCTATTCTTCTTATATAATCTAATTCCGTCAAGATAAGATCTTCCCGCTGCGATCTTCCTAAAAAGGATTGAACTAGATTATGTTATGCCATTCCCCTGCCCCCAATCCCGGCTGATCAACCTAGCAGCAATCCATCCCGCCTTAGTGAGGGCTTCTTTCCATTGGGATTCGTGAAAACAGAAAAAAAACGGACTCCACTAGGACCGCTTACTGATT